TATACTTGTGTAATCAAAATAAAAAAATTTCATTGAATTTGGATATCTGGGTGTTAAGAAATCATCGTTTAAAATTTCAAAGAGAAAAAATTTGCCGATTTTAGATTGTTTTTCCAAGATATTTCAAGCTTTTTCAAAACTTCTAGCGAACGTTTCTCGACAACTACTTGACCAAATTTAATGAACTTTTTTTGTTTTAATTTTACAAATATATTGAATCAAAATAAAAAATTTTACCAAATTTGATCGAGTGGTTACTGAGAAATCGTCGCAAAGAAATTGAATGTTTTGGCTTCGGAATTAGATCGGAAAGGATCTACAGTGATATAACTGACTAGTTGACCATTTTTGACCGACTGTGATCAGCCAATAACCGATCGATAGCCAACAGTAACTGATTGAACCCACTTCTAGTGTATATATTTTCATAGCGGACAGAAATATACTGTAATTATATTTAAAAAATATAATATTTTTGTATATTTTTAATAGAAAAAAAAAAGATATATGGAGTTTACTATACAGTAATCATAAAATTCGGGATGTTGGAGTGATTCATTAGTAAATTTCATGCTTTTTAAAATAGAAAGTTGATTTATCTCTAGGTAAATATAGCTTTTTTATGAGTTTTAAATACATTACAAAATGTATTAGAAAAGATGGAATCTGTATTAAATTTTGGTAAAACGTTATCATTTTTTATATGGGAAAACTACAACCAACATTTGCATAATTTATCACAAAATTAACTAACAAGAACTTGGATGAGCTAAAGAAAATTTTATTTTATGGAATTTTATTTTATTTCTGTAAACTTTAGAATTAAAATAAAAATTGCACCCATTTTTGCTGTGCGTAGAATTTTTATGAATTCCGAATCAATTTGTGTTGCATCGAAATTTTAAACTGACTCGATTTGTAGAGAATTCAAATTCCACTAAATAAGATTAATATTTAAGCATTACCAAGTCAATAAATAAAAATAATTTTAGAAATTCTTATTCATCGAATCGCTCTATAAATAAATTGTTAAATTGTAACAAGGATATTCGTTTTATTTCGTAATGCATTTGAAACGCTTATTTAATTTCTTGATGACAAATCTGTTAATCGATGTCGTAACCCTTTATTTTATTACATAAGAAGGTTATATTTCTGTGTTAAAACTCTTCAAGATCCATTAAATACAACTACCGGAACCGCTAAAAATCATTATTAGGCCAAAAAACATGATAAATCATGTATAGCAACTTATTATAGTTGAGTCAAATTTGTCAATATGTCTTGTAGTTTACATTAATATCAAAGTGTTTTAAAACATGTTGGTTTTTCAAAACTATAGGATAAGTATGTAACTTGAATTCTAACTTTAAATTAAAAAATATGGTTTAATTTATTTGTAGATTTCTGAAAAACACTGTTAGATCGTTAAAGAATTGCAAACGAAGAAGTTTTTCTTTCAATCCAGTTGCGGCAAAGCCAATTGTTACAAATAAATTTCTTAATCGAGTTCAGGTTGATTTAATTTCAATGACTACCTTCCAGTGGAACCGCCTAAAATTTTCTTAACCGTTTAATTGTTTAACCGTATTCACCATTTAATATTAATTCAGCCGGCATTAAAATTGTCTTGGCCCATGATCAACATAATTCGACCCGACACTATAAAAATTATTTTACACGGTTAAACGGTTCCAGTTCTTATCCAGTTGAAGACTTTAATTATATTTTATCACATTATCTAAAATTCTTTTAAGCCTAAATAATTTCCCGAATTAGATAATATTCCTTCAAAAGTTATAAATGTGCAAGAAGCTTCACAAACATAATTTAGCAATTAGAAATAAGCAATATAAAATGTAGTAAAAGGTAAAATTGTCTAGCTGTCATTCCAATCACGTTTGTAATAATTAGTGTAGCTAGAACATATGATTAAAATATAAGCATAAATAGCTTTGCGGTGTATTGTTGTTTAAATTAAAATTGAAGATGCGCTAAAATTAGTATTAGGTTAGTTCGAAATTCTTTAATGATTTGAATTACAATTTCGTATCAACTTGAGTGTAACAATTTCCACATCAATAAGTGTACCCGACGAACGTACAACATTCACACCAATCGGATTATAATGATATAGTAAAAATCTTTATATCAATATTTTTTTTTATAATTTATTTTGAATTTTTTTTTTTTATCAATGCTTTGAACAGCGTTGCTTTTAACTAGCATTATGTGTATTTGCTGTAACTTTAACTTTATACGTAGTGTATGTAGATGTAGTTTTAATGGCAACCCTGCAGACACACTAACCAACATTCGAATATGTGCAATAAAACCTTACTTTAGGATTATTAATACTGTAATAGAGCCTATTCTATATCAAATTTTGCATGAAAGTTTTTTTGTTAATGCGCAAAAGGTGATTTCATAGAAAGTTATCGGCAGTTTTTTTTTCTAAAAAAAAAGAAAACGTTACACGATCCAGAGGTCTGTTGGTGTCGATTATTGGAAGTAATCTGATTGGTGTACCCTGCAGATTTGAATACACCAACGCTTAATAGTCAAATAAAAGGAACCAATGGCAAACAGTAAATTAGAACTTTGTTAAGGAAATATATATATCCTAAATATTATGATTACGCTTACTAATTTCGAGTAATCTGTAAGCTTTAAAGTCTAAAAGTCGGAGTTTTTACCTTGCCATAAATGTTTTTTTTTTTAAGTGATAACACACCAAAATAATGTTGATTAAAGAGAGTTTTTTCTCACATATTTATAAAGTTTGCAAAATTTGTATACATAACATGTAAATATATAAATATTTAGAAGTTTATTTGACAATCCTATTGTTCTTCAAACGCTCGCTCCCGAATTTTTTTAAATATATGAAACTTACCAATCATTCGTGGGATTGAGTGTTATCGCGTGTTTACACATAAATATATACCAGATACGTACTTACGTACGTATGAATTCAATTTTTTCTATTTTTTTTCATACTCGAAACCTACTTCAGCTGATCACGAAAATCTTGAAATAGGGGAATTTTTAATGTTTCTGACTCCTTCTACAAAGTGAGTAAATACATGCACACTACATGCCAGAAAAAAAGAATCTAAAACTTGTATTACTGTTACATATAAGAATAGGTCTGACATTTTTTCACTATTTGGCGTACAATGCTTTATGTTCAAACGTGCCGTTGATGATATAAATAAGGTAAAAATTAATTATCGATACCTTATTAAGCCATAGTACAATAGTAATATTTTAATGTTAGTAGTTAGGCTATAATATTAAAATTTACATATTATCGCTATATATATACTGAATATATTATTACACCAATATAGAATGCAATGATTGTTACATTTTATCCAATCAAATTTAAAATTGATAATTAAAATAACGAAAAAAAACTATCATAAAAAGAACTACAGAACTAGTTTACGTCTGGCAAAAGATCGTCTGCATTTATTATAAACGTAATAAAACATGCAATTTGTAATGCACACGCTTCTGAAATATATGAAATAGTCGGTTGTGAAATTGTTCACAAAGATAAAATTCAATCTAGAGTAACATCACAATTAACTATTACGGTGATTCGAAACATATGAGATAATCCCCTAATGCATTATAATGGTAAATTGTAACTATCGGCAATGTTTATTATGTTATGCATTTAATTTTTACTACTTTTTTAGTATATAAAGAACTTCTGAAAATGTTCGTTTGTTTTTTTAACCCACCCAATTTTCTTTCAATTTTTTTCTTCTTGGTGTAAAAGCGAGGACACTGGTGTCTCTCTGCCTTTATACTTGTAATATATTTATTAGGCTTTTTTTTTTTTTTTTAGATTTCTATATTTATAATACATATATATATATATTACCTAAATTTATTTATATATTTATTTATATATTATATGTATATGAAAATGAAAATTAAAAGCCGTAACGTAAAATTTCTTTATGTTATTTCATTGATCTTGACAGTATGGATACGACTCGTGCCTGCTTGTAAGTTATAAAGTTATATAATTGGACAATTTAGATCATTCGCATAACAATTAACGTAATTAACGTTAATAATTTTTTAATGATGCCTAACGATGATCATAACTTTTTTTTTTATATAAATAGCCAAATTAATCCGTAATAGTAATAGTCAATCTTGTCTCCAACATTCGGATGCTGCATCCACTTCCTGCGTTAAACTTTCTCAATCAACATGTCCAGTTAATAGATTTATTGATTTCTCAAAATCAATTGAATGGAATATTATACCAACTAATCCGTCAGTGGCATTAGATTTAACAAATTTATCCGATTTTTTTATTGAATCATCTGATAATAAAGTTTGTCTTGCTGCTTCATCAAATGATGTGCAAGTTTGTCCGTGCGATCAAAGTATTTCACAAAAATGGAATTTCAGTAGTAAAAATAATTTAATGAGTAGTGCTTATGTTGGGAAATGTTTGGCTGCTATCGGAGATCAATTTACATTAAATCCTTGTAATTCTGGTGGTGATTCTATGTCTTGGGAATTTTATCATGTCGCTCCAAGTATGTATAATTATAATTTTTATAAGTATATAATAATAAGGTTTCATTATTTTATTTTTTACTTACAGTTTTTACACTTATTTTAATTTTCAAAGATGCGGTTAATTTTTATCCAAATACTTTATTTATGAATAATTATACACAATTAACGATGGACACTTATACATCTAAAAAACTTCCTTCTTCCATGTTTTCATCTCCATTTTCTGTTGAAATTCCTCCTGGTTTTCAATTCATTATTGATCATGGAAATAATAATACAATAACTTATAATTTTGATATGGCTAGTATTCCTCCTATTAACGATCTATCTTCTACCATAATTGTCAAGATAAAACCTGGAATGATCATTTATGAAAGAGAAAATTATTTTGGTGCAAGTGAATATTTCAATGTTGGAACTTTAGTCTCAACACCAAAAAGTGTTGGATCTATTATGATGGCCACAAATTCGAAAGCTGTCTCAAATTTTTCAGGAAATAATTTGGGTTTATTTGAACCAATTCATAGTTTCATGAGTGTTTTGGCTGATTCTAGTCAAATTTCTTTTGGAAGTTTAGAAATATCTCAATCTACATGTAAAGATGAGTGTACATCTGGAGGTTTTTGTTCGGTCAACAATGTGTGCGTTTGTAAATCTGGATTCACCGGTTCACAATGTGATCAATGTGCTCCTGGTTTCTGGGGCCCGGATTGTTTGGGTATGATATATTTTCTATATAATTAATTGTGATAAACGTAAATGTAAATATGATCACTAACGTGAACCTTATATTATTTATTTATAGCATGCTCTTTGACTTGTAAAGGCACAACAAATAGTAGTCAAATGACCTGCGATGACGGGCTATTTGGAACTGGTAAATGCAAATGTGCTACTGGATTTAATGGCACAAACTGTAATACTTGCGCTCCTGGATTCTTTGGTCCCAACTGTACACGTGAGTTTTGTTTAAAATATTTTATTATATACAATAACTTATATACTGAAAATTTTAATTTTTAACAACGCTTATTTCAACATTTTAAAGCATGTAATTGCGGTAACGGCGTATGTGATAATCAAGGAAAATGTACTTGCAACGCAGGTTGGGACCCAAGTACGAATTGTACAGCTACAAAATCAGGTTACTTTCAATCGGGTAACGATGCCAAAGCGTGCCCGATAGGATGTGCAACTTGTGATTCAACCGGAAAATGCACAAAATGTTTAACCGGTCTAAACTTTGCTACTGATAATCCAACTCAATGTGTTCCTCAAAATAGTGTTACTTGTCCTGCTGGTCAATTTCCTGATACAAATAATGGAAATACTTGTACTCCTTGTAATACTAATTGTGCTACTTGTTTTGGTTCTGGACCTGATAGTTGTTTAACATGTGCTGCACCGAAATTTTATTTAGAAGGAGGGTGTGTTACCCCATCGACAAATGGAGAATGTATATCTCCTAGTAATCAGGCGTTCGTTGCTAATGCTGCTCAAGGGATTTGTAATGGTATGTCATTATTTACCCAATTTATGTATCATTTACATATTATTTACATATGAGTACAGTCAAAGGAAAACCATACTTTGGAGCTTTTAAATTTATAATTTATCGAACTCAGAAATTTAGTCCAGTAAATTTATAAATTTAAAAGTCTGAAAATGTTGTTCCCTATGTGGTACCCATTACTACTAGGAATGATCATGACTCGAGTCAACTACTTTTAAAAAATGTGTACAATAGATTCGAACGAGCGGTGTCGTATTTCATCGAGTCGTGATCACTCCTATATATTACATTTCACTAGATGTTAACGTTTATAATTTTTTATATAATTTAGCTTGTCCAAGCGCATGTCTTGGTTGCTCATTAAAAAATCCCGCTGATCTTACCAACCCGAATGGTAATGGAGGAGTTCAATGTAGCAGCTGTCTTCCAGGATATGTACTTGATAATGGTAATTGCGTTAAAACTTGTTCCTCCGGAAAAGTAGTTAATCCAAATGACAATTTAAATTGCATAGGTAATATGAAAATTCTTATTATTTTTGTGCCAGAATACATAAAGCTCTCTTTTAACATTATCGTAATTTTTTAATATAGCGTGTAATAGTGCATGTGCAACTTGTAGTGGTCCTTCAGCATCAGAATGTTTGTCGTGTTCGGCATCAAATCAATTTGCATTGAATGGAACCTGTTCATCAACTCCATGTCCATCATCATATTTCACCCAAAATACTTCTTGTATTAAATGTCATCCTGACTGTGCAGAATGTTCCGGTCCAGGTTTTAATCAATGTAAAAAATGTCCATCAACTCGTCCAATATTATCCTCTGAAGGTCAATGTGTTGAAAGTTGTCCGGATGGTAATTTTGCTGATAGTAGTGGAAAATGTCAAAAATGTAATTCTGAATGTTCCTCTTGTATTGGTTCACGTTCTGATCAATGTCTTGGATGTGCTGATCAAACAAAAATTTTGATAAATGGTACTTGTAGTGGAACATGTCCAGCTGGTAGTAAAATGATAGTAGCTGAACGAATTTGTTATAATCTGCAAACTAATACCATAGTTTCACCTGATTCTATTCCTAACTCTAATACAACATCATCCGAACTTGATGTATTTACGATTATATTAATAGTTAGTGGGGCTATAGTATTTATTATATTGGCTCTCATATTAATTCGATGCATTGCAGTAAGGAGACGTGTAGCAAAAACAAATGAATTTGGGGGAAATCTTGATGAAAATAATGTAATTAAAAATATGAGAAATCTTCAAAATTCTCAAAATCAAGTTAATGTTCCTGAGATGGCTCATTCAGATTCTACTACGAGCTTTAATGAGAATCAATCTCCACCTGCATATGATATTACGGCAGGAAAATTATATTGGAAGAGAATGCATAAAAAAGCCAATAGTGAATTATCTAGTAGAGATTATGCATTATGGAAATTAGAAGGAAGGCATAGGAGTCGTCGTACTGATGATTGGGATGGTTTTGTGATGGAGTTTCCTGGTGGAGCTTCATCGTCAAATAGTGATGATGAATATAATAATGGGTATGATATAGAAAGAATTGGAGGATATAGAGGTAGTAAAAATTCTGTCAGATCTAATGTTAGTAATTTAAGTCGACAAAATACATTACCTGCAAAAAGAGGATTAAAATGGGGTGAAAATTGGGTCTAATGAAAAAAAAAAAATTTTAATTTACTAATTATGGCTTGTTATCAATGTTTTTCTATCTTTTTACTTTTTAAAAAAGACAGAATGTTTTTTTTTTTATGGTTAATAATTACTGTAATGGGTATTATATAATTTATGTTTTTTTCGGGTAATACATGTATTTTTATTAAAAAAATTTTTTAACACTCGAGTATTGCCAAATATCCTATAGATATTGAATTTACCGTTCTTTAATAAATAATGTAAATAATTACGCGTTTTAATCACGATAAAAAAAAAGGATGATAAAATATAGTATAGGTGACATCTACTTTAAAATCAATTGATTATTTATTAAGGTGTTACCTATATTATACTTCATCCTTATCGCTTCTTTTTGGGATTGTAATATCCCATTTTTATCAGATGAAACGCCAAGAATGATTTGGTGTCACGATACCAAATTTTGTTTGTTCAGTCGGTCTTGTTTACCCAACAATAATTCCACACACTATGAATTTGTGATAGAATTTGTGCAACGGCTTCTGTTACTAAAACAGGGGCTTGTTTTGTATAGACGCCGTAGTCTTCCATCGAGTTCCACCTTTAATTATGCAAATGCTTCATTTTATGGTAACCTCATTGTGAAAAATATTTATCTTCTTCCAACATTCTGACCTTACCGTATTTTCGCGTAACAACGCTCACCTGCGCGTATATGCGCGTTATTTCGAGACGCGCATGAGCGTTATTTTGAGACAATTAAAAAATTGTAAACAAACAAAAATACTAGATTTAATACTAAGTAAAATTTCCTTCGAACTTTAACAAAAGTTGTTCTAAAAAACTACTTTTGTTGAAGTTTTGAAGGTTTACCGAAGTATCTTCAATAATAAACATCCCTTACTATGGGGTACGCGCTATTTTGGGACGCGTATGAGCGTTATTTTGAAACTATATATATTATTTTTAGAGGACACGATTTTCGAAATAACGCTCATGAGCGTTATTACGTGAAAATGCGGTATATATTTTTATCAGGAGTCTGCAAATGCCCATGCCCGGCACATTGGCACCAGGCTGGGCACTAGTGCCTTGTGCCGTGCCTGTGCCTATAGGCACAAAAGT